TGTCCACTATCACCACTCTTGTTCAATATAGTTTTGGAAACATTAGCCACAGCAATTAGACAAGAGAAAGAAACAAAAGGAATAAAGATAGGAAAGGAAGAAGTTAAACAGTCATTATTTGCTGATGACATGATACTCTACATAGAAGACCCAAAAAACTCTGCCAAAAGACTTTTAGACTTAATTGACAGATTCAGTAGAGTGGCTGGATACAGGGTCAACACTCAAAAAATCAATAGCCTTCTTTTACACAAATAACAGACTCACTGAAAGAGAAATTAGGGAAACAATCACTTTCACAATAGCATCCAAAAAAATGAAATATTTAGGAATCAATCTAATGAAGGAAGCAAAAGACCTCTACATGGAGAACTACAGCACTCTGAAAAAAGAGATTGAAGAGGATATAAGAAAATGGAAAGACATCCCTTGCTCCTGCGTAGGAAGGATCAACATAGTGAAAATGTCCATACTTCCAAAACAGCTATACAGATTCAATGCAATCCCGATTGAAATCCCAACAGCATATTTCACAGAACTAGAGAAAACAACACAAAAGTTCATCTGGAACCAGAAGAGACCTAGAGTAGCAAAAGCAATTCTAGGCAACAGAGTCATGGCAGGGGTTAGCACAATTCCCAACTTGAAACTGTACTACAAAGCCATTGTGATAAAAATAGCATGGTACTGGCAAAGAAACAGACCTGAGAATCAGTGGAATAGATTAGAAGACACATAAGCAACTCCAGTCATACTCAACCACCTCATCTTTGACAGAGGAGCCAACTATCCTCACTGGAGGAAAGATAGCCTCTTCAATAAATGGTGTTGGAGGGCTAGGGATTTAGCTCAGTGGTTCCGCCGCCTGCCCCACAAGTGCAAGGACCCAAGTTCAATTCCCGGTACAAAAGTAAATAAATAAAATGGTGTTGGAAAAACTGGATTTCAACTTGCCAAAGATGAAAAATAAACCTCTATCTTTCACCATGCACTAAACTAAAATCTAAGTGGATTAAAGATCTAAATATTAAAACAGAAACACTAAACTTGCTGGAAGACAAGTTAGATAGAACTCTCAAAGACATTGGCATAGGAAAGGACTTTAGGAACAAATCCTCAGTAGCATGGGATCTAGCACGGGAACTAGCACAAAAAATCAACAACTGGGATCTCACCTTATTAAAAAGCTTTTGCACTGCAAGAGAAACCACCAACAGTGTGAAGAGACAACCCACAATGTGGGAAAAAAATTTTACCAGCTGTTCCTCAAAGGTCTACTATCTAGAATATATAAAGAACTCAAAAAAAATCAGACCCCCAAATATAAAGACCCGATTCAAAAATGGGCATCTGAAATGAACAGACATTTCTCAGACAAAGAAGTGAAAGCAGCGAATAAACATATGAAAAAATGTTCAATATCACTGCTCATTTGAGAGATGCAGGTGAAAATAATGCTGAGATTCCACCTCGCCCTAGAAAGAATGGCTGCTATCATGAAATCAACCAATAACAAGTGCTGGCAGAGTTGTGGGGAGAAAGAAACCCTTCTCCATTGCTGGTGGGAGTGCAGACTGGTGCAACCACTGTGGAAATCAATATGGAGATACCTCAAACAACTAGGATTGGAAGTCCCATTTGACCCAGCTATTTGTCTCCTGGGTATCTTCCCAAAGAATTAAAAGAATCATACCTCAGTGATATATTCACACCCATGTTTATAGCGGCACAGTTTGTAATAGCTAAAACTTGGAAACAGCCCAAATGCCCATCAACTGGAGACTGGATAAAGAAGATGTGGGTTTTTTAATGAAATGGAGTACTACTCAGCCATAAAGAATGAGAAACTAGAGACATAGCTATGTAGATGCACATTGAGGCCACACTCTTAAGTGAAATAAATAGGACACACGTGTAAATACCGAATAGTTTCTGTAGTATGAGAAACTGAAAGTGTAAATAAGGACTAAAAGGTATAACAGATAATGTGAAATAGAAAGAAAATGTGCAAAGGGGAAGGGGAAGTGGAAGGGGTAGGGGAAAGGAAAGAAGGGAAAAGAAAAATTTGAGAAAAGGAAAAACATGGAAACAAAGTCTTTGTAAATAGGGAAGGGTAGAGGGGGTGAAGGGAGGGCAGGGGAATGGGGAAAAAATAAGAACCAAGATGCATCATCTAAAGGTACAAGATCCCAATGATGAATGTAACTGTATTGTATACCTAAAATGTACCAATAAACTAAATGGAAAAAAAAGATTAGGGACTAAGCCTTATGATTAATCAAGACTTACAGCTATGTAAACAGATTTCTACTTTAAAAAGAATTAGTATATAATTTGCATTTTAAAGTAAAAATAATTTAATATGATTCAGAAAGCCTGTCAGAATCAGGCAGTGCTTCAGTGCCATTATAAAGATATACAGAAGCATCAGTTAATACTGATTTGCTTTTAAAAGGATACTAACAGCTGCATGTGGTGGCACATACCTATAATCCCAGGACTCTAGGAACTGAGGCAGGATTACAAGTTTGAGCCCAGCCTGGGCAATTTAGGGAGATTTTGTCTTAAAATGAAAAAGGGGGTGGGGATGTAGCTCAGTGCAAAGGCCCTGGGTTCAATCCCTAGTAGTACCACCACCACCACCAAAACCAAAGCTAACCAAACCAAACCAAAAAAACCTACTACATAAATGTTTTTGGAATTTAAATTCTGATTCACCTATTTTCTAGTAAAGACTATCTATCTTGCTGTTACCTATAATCAGATTGAAAGGAACATAAGGTTATCTTGTCTTCTGATAATCATGCCTGAATTGCTTCTAATCTATTTAATAGATATGCACATACAAGATGCCACACAGTGTTCCATGGAGGATTACAGTGGTGAAAAAAGTTTCCTCCCTTGCCAAGTTCATATTCTCATGGATACCAAATGGTAGTCAGCCTCTTTTGAACACTTTTTCAAAGTAACTCATTATGAGACATCATGTCTTTAGAGATCAGGGGTTTTTTTCTGTCAATTTCACTTGCTTACCTTATATCGAACTAATGCAAATTCACTTCATGACAGTCCCTCACATATTTGAAGACAGTTCTTATACACAGTCTCATCTCCAGTCTACTCCCTTTCCCCACCCCTGAATGTTCTTTTTCCAACACTAAGAAGCCTCTATTCCCTCAACTTTTCATCTTGGGGCACCATCTCACCCCACTGTCATCTGAATGTGACAGAGATGGTGTCTGTTATTCCTAAAGACTGCATTTCTAGATTTAGCATTCACCTACTGAGTTCTTGTGTTAGTTCCAAATAATACTTTCTGATACTCTGTAACGCTGGGGTTGGAACACAGCACTTTTGCTTTGCCAGCTGGTTTCCTGTCCATTCTGCCAATATGAGACTGACGGCAGGAGGGGAACAGACACACTCTTCCTGTTTTGCTGTTGTTGCCAGTGTCCTAGCGGCATGGGTTCTTACCTTAGCTGAGGCAGCTGGTTCCATTCTCCAGCTACTTCCTCTGGCACTCCCAGAAGCACCATCAGGACAGTGTCTGCTTTGAGTCTCAGCCGTGGGACCCTTTTGTGACGTTCCTGAGGGTCTTTCAGGACAATTTCATCTTCTGTAATGGCTTTAACCTATATGATGGCTCCTAAATCTGTATTTCCCTCCCATACTTCTGACATTGTGTATCCTATAGACAGTCTGTTCTCGATCTGAACCTAACCATGACTTCCTCTTCAGTTAGTAGAAACCTAAGATTCATCTTGCTTCTCCTGTGTTCCTCATTCATCCACAGTCTGTCTCCAATGTCAGGACATTCATACCTAAGTTATTTCACAGATCTACTCCCTCTTCTATTTCCACTAAAACTTCCCTTAAGAAGTCCCTCATCCTCTCTTGCTTAGACTTTTTCAATACCCTCTAACTGATCTCCTTATCCTTTACCCTCTTTGAATCCATCATTCTCACAGAGGTCCTGGTCTGTCCAGGGCTCAAATGTAATAGCATAGCTCTCACCCTCCTCTACTCTAGGTCCATCTTCTGTCTGTCACTGCTCTCCTGTTATGTTACTACTATATATCACACCTTGACCTCTATTCTGTTTCACTGTCTTTTCTTCAAATGTTCTGCCTTTCTCACACATAGACTTCATCTGGCTAAGCAATTTAAGATGCAACTTACTATCAGTAGTCCAGGAAGATGCCCTCAGACCTCCTTCCCCCATGCTGTATATACATGCTGGTGGTTTTTTTGGGGGGGTACTGGGGATCGAACTGGGGACCTTGCACTTTCAAGGCAGGTGGCGGAACCACTGGGCTAAATCCCTGGCCCCCATGCTGGTGTATTTTTATCACTACCTCAGTGGACAGTGATTTCAAAGGGCTACCTGCAGATAAGATGCCATTCATTGGGATCTTAGCAAGTATTTTTTGGTGAATTTCAAGGCATCATTACTATAAGCCTAAATCAAATTATATTTTTACCATTAGGAATTCTACCAGATGGAATACTACTGAGCAATAAAAAACAACCAACCAAACAAAATTACTGATATAGTAAACAATTTGGATGAAATCTCCAGGGAATTATAGTACACTGGAAAAAACTTACGTATTACCTAATTCCACTAATATAATGATCTTGAAATGATAAAATTATAAAAATGTAGATAGATTAGTGGTTGCCTGGGGTTAAGAAGTGAAGGCAGGAGGGAACAAGATGTGCCCATATAAGGGCAATATGAGGAACCCTTGTTGGGGGCCTGTGTGGTGACACAACTACTCAGCATCTGGGTCTTATCAATGTCTATGTTCTAGTTTTGTTCCTGTGGAGTGTACTACTGGTTCCCAAGATGTTACCACTGAGGAAAAATGGGTATGGGGTACAAAGGATTACTCAACATTATTTCTTACAATTGCACATAAAAGCACAATGATCTCAAAATTTAAAGTTTAATTTAAAAAAAGGTTTCCCTTCAGAAAGAATGTAGACTTCACACCTTCTTCAAATGCTTTCTTTTTATTTGAGAAGGATAATCTCAGGGCAGTGCCCATTGGGAAAGAGCTCTCTTACTATCATGTACATCAAGATCAACCATTACTCTTGGCAAAGTACAAAAATACACACATCAGTGGCTTCCGTACAATAAATACATAATCATGCATCCCACAATAAAAGGCACCAAAAACTGGTCACTTAGTAGTCATAAAAATCACTAGCTACATTAACAAAGCCACCCAAATTATCTGTACAGGAAATGTAACAATATATTCCAAAGGTGAAAACACATAAAACATCTTTAAAATAGTATGCAATAAATATCTCAATTGTTGTATATATTTAAAAAATTATGCCACTGTAAACAGCATGTAAACAAACAAAACTCACGTCTTATCATTATTAAAATAATTAGAGTCATAGTTATAACCTCTGCTATCAGGTATATTTCACTGGCAAATGTGCTAAGCAGTTAAAAGTTTCACTCTTTTCTGCAGCAAACAGAGCCCACTGTGTAATAAATAGATAGACATTATCTGCATCTTTTCAGATACCAGTATTTTAGTTTCAAAACAGACTACCAAAATGTAGTAAATTCTTAGCTATAAATATGCCAAGGCTAAATTAAAACTATCTTTCGCAATAGAAGGAATTATACTGTTAGGTTTTCAACATGATGATAAATGGGAGACAATTTCTGATAATCTTTATTAAAAGGTTAAATGAATGTGTTGAATAGAAGGGTAAAAGTGTCCAGCCTTCTGAGCATCTTTCTGAGTGGACCTTTTACAAAGTTGAACAAAGAACAAAGTTACCAAATTAAGAATTTTGTTTTGCTAGAGAATATAGAAATGGTTGCTACTTTATCATGATGAGAAACAGTGAGTTTAAAATATGCCTATCAAAATGTGAACACATAAAGGTTTTCCCATACTTACTGAGAATAAAAATAAAGACAGTTTCTTCCTTCTCATAAAGGGATCCTATACCCTAACCATCAATAAATATTTAGAAGTTAATTTTATAACTCAAGTATTTTTGTTTTGTTTAATCTATGTATCAGAGCCTTGCAGTACACAAATATTACTAGTCTATTTACTATATCCTTAGACTATTATTATTCCCTACACCTCATCAAAAATGACTGAGGTAGAAACACCAACCTTCAACACCAATAACTTCAGAGACTTTGAAATCTACTGGAAAGCATTTCTTTATAGCCCCTCTCCTCTCCAGTGAGTTTGCAATGTATACCTTTTGTATATTTTGAAGTATGCGTTATTCTCTTACTTGGACCTATAGTTGTGAAAAATAGCATTCTATAGGATTGATGAAACACAGTCAAAATTATTTGTGGCCAACATGAAAACACAATAAATGTGGACATGAAAGTGAAATTACTCCTTTATGACACACAATGTGGTTATTTGGGGGTGGGGGCTAGAAGGAGACTCTTTCCCTGAAATAACCCGAGGAATAGGTTTTCTAAAAATTCTCCTAATTTCTCTCTTTTTTTTTTTGGTACTGGGGCTCGAACTCAGGTCCTTGGACTTGTGAGGCAGGCAGCAGAACCACTGAGTGAAATCCCCGGCCCTAATTTCTTAAACAGATATAGAAAACTGATCATGAAGACAAACTTGAGCTCTCCCAGACAGGAACTATGTCTTATTTGTATCCTCAGCATCTAATTGAGTGCCAAGTATAGAAAAGATAGGAAAATGTCTATCAAGTAAGAAAGAGAGCTTTTCATTTAATTACATATATTTTGACTAATACTTAATTTTAGAAATTATTAACTTAAAGAGATTTTTGTGTTAACGTTTTTATTATTTGGGGTCATGGTAGAAAGGTTTTATAGGCTCACAAAAGAAAAACAGGCTCACAGGTAATGGTTTTTAGCCTTTATATTCTATAAACCTTCTTATATTTACAATAATCATTAACTATAAATAACCGGGAAGTCACACAAATCTATATCTTCATGGCTGAATATTACTTTAAAAATTTCACCTTCACTATTGCTTTTTATTCTTTCTCGAGTCTTATTTTTGTGTGTAGGTAATCACTGTGTGTGTATGAAGACTGTACACACTGAATGTAAAACAGAAAGAAAATCTTTAGGGCACATTTATGAATTTCAAACAAGAATTGGTAGTTATGTGAAAAAAAGGAAGCCTCATTTTTAGAAATAAGAATTTGCATTTAGTCAATATTGCTGATGTACAGCAAACAAATTATTATCTTTATAAAACCAGGGCTCTTCCCTGTTTATCTTTTGCTAGTCCAGAGTACATGCATGACAACACTCAACACGTGAATTTTCAGGGAGTTCTAAGCTTTTATTTGTCAAAGTACAAAAATATAGAAAACAGAATTTTATTACCTTCATTCAAAAACATTTATCAAGGTCCTATTATGTGCTAGCTAGACATTAGGCCACAAAAATAAGAGAAACTCAGTGGAAGAGGCAGGTATCTACGTGTATTTGAAAATATGATGCTATTTTTTTTTCCTCTCTTTTTTTTTTTTTTGGTACCTGGGATCGAACTCCAGACCTTTTGCTTTCAAGGCAGGTGGCAGCACCACTGAGCTAAATCCCGGCCCTTTCTCTCTTTTTTTTTTTTTTGAGACAGGATCTCACTATGCAGAGTTCAGGCTGACTTGAAATCACTATGCAGCCCAGGCTTGAACTCGCAGCAATTCTCTTGCCTCAGCCTCCTAAGTGCTGGGATTATAGGTGTGTGCCACCACGTCCAACTAACATAAAAATTTTCAAAATACTGTGGAGCATGGATGAAATGCCTGCCTACAGACAGCAGGTAGGGATTCACAGGAAGTTAAATTTGAACTGAATCTTATATGAGTTGATCTATGGAATATGAGTATGCCAAGGCACTAAATTGTGAGCAGTTGCAAATTTCTGTATTACAAAGGTCAATGGTGAGTAAAGTTGCTAAAGGTCACAGAGGTTCTTACCCATTTTCCTAAAGAGCTAGTTTGCTTTGCAATAAAGAAAAAAGAGCCTACTTATGAATTTTTAGCAAAGAGATGACAAAGCAAATTTTTGTGAGAGACATGAAAATAGGAAAGCTGTTTGCTGAAAAGCTACGGCCAAAGCATAGGAGAGAAGTGTTGAAGGTCTGTACTGATAAGGGCCTAAACCAAGGTAATAAAATTATCAGTTTATTGCAAGTAATTAAAACAGAACATAAAATGCCAATTCAGCCTTTGAAATGGTAAAATATGAAATGTGCAACTGTGTACTGAAAAAAAATCTGACATATAAAATGCTTTTAAATTTGCACAATTCAAAACCAAGATTTTTATTAAGGCTTTGCTTCATTTCATATTTTAGGTTATGAGTTTCTTGGCAGAAGAACATAATTTATATAATATTGCATAAAAACTGTGTCATCTCTCAAAACCTTTCTGAAAGCTTTCCAACTAAAAGAAAACCAAAAAACTATTTAAGCTGGCAACTTTCATCCTCATCATTATGTACATCAAAACTCTTGCTACACAGTTGAAATTTATAAACAAGGATGATTCTAATAAAAATTGTAATTAATTTCAATTATTCTAAGGTCATCTGTGTATCAGGTCATCATAGGAAGCACATTCCCAAGAAAACGATTTCTTCCTGTCACATACAAAATCACTGTGGAATAATCACTTAAGAGATCTGTCATCAAAAAATTAAGTTGTGCCATTAAAACAGATCAAAATACCATGCTCATGAATTCAAATTCAGTGTTTCCTTGTATCACACAGCTTTATACATTCTTTTCTTTTTTTAACTTTATACATTCTTATAATTCAACATTTCAGGGCGAAGGGAATGGTACAGGAGCTCTGAATTATATTGTGCTGCACTGTTACATCAGATTTAGCAAAGAAATAGTCAGGTCAAGATAGTGACCTGAAGACAGTGACTAAATTCAAATGTCATGCAAAACTAAAGTCATCATTCACGGTCCCTTATATATAAGTAATATTATTTTAAGTAGGTTATTCTAATTTCTAATTTATGTTTCTTAATTGTGCCCAAATTTTCATTTAGTTTCTCTGAAGGTACACTACATGAAAGATACTCTTCCATAGTCTAAGAACATAGTCAGTGATCCTTGCTCTGGATCCAAGACACCATTCAGAAAGGGCTCAGTATTGAATTAAGAAAGTGACAACACAGGGGAAAACAAGTTAAGGAATTATGTACTCTTTTTTTTTTTTGGTACCAGGGATCAAACTCAGGACCTTGCACTTACTTGTGAGGCAGGCGGCAGAATATGTACTCTATTTTTGAAAACCACTTGTTTCAAGAGATATTTTCTCCTCCAGGGAATTAATATAAAAATATGAAGGTCTTAAGAAATGATTACATTCACTTTTATAAAATACTTAATTTTTGGTGAATTAAAAAATTATAGCATGCATATAAAAATACCCTTGACCTATTCTAGTACAGATGATAGCAGTTTAACTTCCCTTTCTCTTGTATTTTTATTTTTTTGTGGTGCTGAAGATTGAACCTAAGCTGTGTGCATCCTAACCAGCTGCCCTACCACTGAGCTGCAGCCAGTCCTCAATTTTCACTTGTAAATGGAACATGAAGAAACGTTTTATTTCCATGTTATACTTGAGACACCTTCATTTATATCTAAGATGACAGTGGAGAAGAAATGGGAAATTTAAGTATGATTCACACTTATATAGCTCCTTTTGTAATAAAAAAAAAAAACCCAAGTAGTTATAACTGATAATATTGTGTGGCACTGGGAAAAATTAAAATACCAAAACATGTAGTTTGCAGAAAGGAGACAATGAGCCAGTGCTGAAGTCAGTTATGGAACCCAATAAGCTGGAATCATATTCCTATCTGCAGAATGACAAAATTCATCTTTTGGTAAATATTGTAAATCTTTATAATTTGTTTCAAATGAAAAAAAAATCCATCATAGCTAACACATTTAAAGGCTTAGCAAGTTCATGAAAATCCCTTTGATCTGTATGGTATGGTCTGATATACATTTACCAGGGTTCTTTTATTTCAAAGGAACCAGCTAAGTCCTTCTGACTAGTTCTTCTATAGTTATCACTAAACTGAGAAAGCACAGACAACTGCCCCATGTATTAAACACTTGTGTGTGGTACATCACATGACTTGAATGATTAGGTCAGCAGAACTACCTCCTTAACTGACTTGTAAATTTCAACAGTAAAATTGGCTCCCTGAATTCACTGCTTATTTTAATAAGATCTAGATAAACTCTCAGACCTTACCATTGTAACCTTTTTTTGGTTTTGTTTTGTGGTCTTGTGCTTACCATATCTCATATGTGCTTTTTGTTTCTACAACATAAAGTGAAAGATATCTATTCTACATTCAAACTCTTTCCAAAACTGTCAAATTTCCAATTCAAGTTCTTTTTTCCTTTAATTTCTACATGTTTCTCATATCTTTTCATTTTTTTCTAACTTCAATAATTGCTTATAGAACTGTAAAATTAATATAAAACCTTGTATTTAAAATTGTCAATTATTAATCTCCTAATATAATTCTTAAATAGCTCACAATTAGTCTACTGTAAAATAGATAAGGATTGTTAAGATGATTTTTGTTATATTACATTGCTTCATATTAAGTGGGAAGGTTTTTTTTCTTCCTTGAAAACAGGTCATTTTTGTGTGGCATGTTATGCCATTATGTTTTAAATTTGTAGGTTTTTAAACAGTTGAATTGAGAATATATTTAAAAATGATTCAAGATTCAATTAAAATCTCATCACTTTACTTGACAGAAACAAATAAACCATTAGCCAACGGTTACTATTTCTGTAGAAGAGTCCAGAGTCAAATGCAAATATAAATATAAGTATATATATCTCAGAACCACGAGCTGGCTGGAAGAGGTATGTGATATTTTTAGGGATTCATGATTCTTAGTTTTCATTTAAATGCCATATTGGCAGTACAATCATGGAAACTTCTCATAACATAAATTGATTCATCACGGGAAAGAAGTTACAAATTGAAGACATATATTGGCAAAATATAGTACAACGGATCTCTTGGGTACATTAAATTCTTAATATTGGTGATTTCTTTTGGCTTTAAGCTTTTTTGATATTTATTTTAGATACAAAAATCATTTTTTTACAAAGTTCCTATAACTGTTCAGTTACCTATGCTAAAAAGAATATTTCTTTTTACAAGGAAAAAAACAGGGCATCTGTTTGACAGAAATGAGTACTTCAAGTATATAAGTAAATCATTAATAGAGCTATTACAATCTAGGGAACAAGAGTAAAAAAGGAAAAGAGCCAGAATATGCATTTTGTATAAAGATTAAATTTCACAAAACAATAAATAAATGCACTGATTTATACAACTTATGAAAACCTTCTAAAGTGATTATTAAGTAATACTGCCTATGATGGACTATGCTGATGTCAGCACTGCCTCACATAGAGAAGTTCAAAAGTAAAATTCTTGCTCATAAAGCCACAAAATATACAAAGCTTTTGTATTTATGTGTTACCAAACATTTTATCTGCCAAAAGTTCCACAAACTAAAATACAACTTGGCAGTTTGAATAACCAGCATGATAATTACTTTGGTATAAAAAGATAAGAAACCTTTTAATATGAAAATTAATAAAACCAGAAAAGGAGAAATCTGTTTTATAAATAGACATGTTAACATAAAAGTGAGACTTTCATCACTCTTAAGAGAAAGAAAAATATTTGATACAACTTACTTGGAGATTTGAAAATAATTATATTTTTCCAGCTCTAGATAAATATATTACTCCAATTTACTAGTCATCTTCAATATACAACATATAACTCATAAAACAGGGAATGTTACAATACTAGAACCTTTCACAGCACTAGTTACCAGTTACCAGAACTGTACAAAATTTTTATGTATTAGCTTAATACTTAAAAAGTATAGAAATAGATATGGCTAAGCTCTGTGAAATAACAGTGCAATCAAACATTAAGGGCCACAAAATATATTCTTTCTTCTTTTTAGCTTGTATATCCAACTGCATTATCCTACTTTAATAGCATTATCAACTGAGTATTGCAATCCTTTATTTTAATGCATCTTAAAAGTAACCGTATGTTTTGTTAGGTTTGGTTATGTTATAGTTGAAATGCAGTTACCATGAAATACTTAGACTGTAAATTCCTATATAGAATGAATATCTTGTAGCTAAAGTTAAAATATTTTGTGTGGAGTTTTAAAAGTTTCTAAGTAGTGGCTTGGTTTTTATTTTCCAACTAAAACTTGTAAGTGCATAAAAAATTAGGAGAGGATGTAAATAAATAGAATATCTTAGTTACATAAAAGGAATTGTTCATCTATGTTATATAATATGGAATTTATCCTAAATGTTGCTACTGAGTTAATGCAGTCTCAGTGACTCCATTAAACTTCTTTTCCTGAAAATAACAGGAAGAATTATACAAATAGGTACAGTCCAGCTGTCTCTGATCTCTCTGCTCTCTTTAACAATAAACTTTTGTAGTAGTTTTTTTTTTTCTTCTACCATAAATGTCCCTAAACAAAACTTGGAAAAAATAAAATAATAATAAAGAAAAAAAATGCTTTGCTTTTTATAGAAACCAGTAACATCACCTTTATAAAGTTTTGGCTGCTTCTTTAGGAAGGCATCCTACTGCAAAGACATCACATTACTGTTGTGACACAGAGACTGCAATACAAAAGTCAAGAGATGCCACAGCAGAGACAAAAAGACCCAGGCCCCACTGCACATGGAGTGCGGCAGTGAGAGGAGGAATGTTGAAGCCAAGCGGTAGGAACCACAAGGAAAGCTAGTACATTAGTCACACTCCCCATTTGAAAAATTTTCATCTCTTTCTCCTCTCTCTCTCCCTGTGCTGAGGAAAACCTGGTGTTTAAAAATTATCACTTGTATTCTCCAACTCTAAGCCTATTGTCCATTCAACGTATATCTGAAAGATGTAGGATGAATTTGCCTTGTGAAAGTAGTAGAGCCAGGAGACACCTTAGATGCCAAAGATGTGTTGTTTTAATTAAAGAATTCATTAAAAAAATTAAAGAATTCATATCCTGAGAATATGACAGTTCACTATATTGTTAGTCCAGTTGACAATAGCAGGTAATTTGCTTTAGAAATGAAGCGTAGAAGGAACTCCCATAATTTTCTAAGTGATATTTTGTATGAATATTTCATTTTTAGGTTCCTGTTAAATAAAGTAACTATAGAAGTCTAAAATCTATTCATAAAAATCAGCTACAGATTCTCTAGGCAGTTATGTTTTGGTAAATCATATCAGTATGTAAAAATTATTAGGTGAAAGATTCCTGACAATAAGTCACTATAAAAGATCTTATTAAAGAATTTAAAAATTTGCATTTGAGAACCAAGAATATGCTACACTGTTTTCAAGCACTACTTTAGAGAATTATTAACCATGTGAAATCAAGATAAGTTAGCATATGAAAAATTCAAATCTAGCAAAACATGCCTACTTGGAGGATTAAATGACATATTCACTTCACTTGTAATTAATTGGATCCCCTTTTGCATGCCTAATGATCATTTAATGTGTATGCTGCTATATGTCCTCAAGCATGAACTATATCAACAGGATAACTGACTGATAAGAGAAAATGAAAATGTATGAGCTGCAGGAGACTACCCAGTGTTTACTTATCTCAGTACATATTCTTCTGAAATGTTCCTGACCTAAGTCACGAACAAATGAACATATCACATAAGCAACAAACAGAATGAATGTGGAGTGTTAGTGGCTTAGAGCTGAGTGTGGGCCTGGAAAGAGGCCAGCTGTGTTGGTCAGCTAATCTCCTGTGAACCACCTTAGCTGCCGAAATAAAACCACTGAGTGGGGAGGGCCCATCTAAAACTAGAATTAGGGATAAGAATTGAGAAGAAAACTCTGCTATGGTGATGAATGAGTTTCAGCTTATTTCTAGGATTAGTGAAAGAATTAATAGAACAGTGGGTTGAGGAACAAGCTATTGTAGGGACTTTTGAAGAACTCAGATTCCTACTATCTAGTAAGGATAAAACAGACGTAGGCCAATGCTAATTGTCTAAGGAATCTTATTGAAAGGAAGAGTTTTGACTCAATATTCCTGGAGTGGACCTGAGATTCTGCATTTCTATAACCTCCCAGGTGATATTTGTGCTGCAGGCCCATGGACCACTATTTTGAGTAGTGAGGATATTCTAGATTAATGTTGTCCAACGGATTTTTGCAATGGTGGAAATGTTCTGTATCTGTACTGTCCTCTATGGTTGCTGTGACAAGTGCAATTGAGAAATGAAATTTATAGTTAAATAGCCACATGTGGCAACTGGCTATGATATTAGACAGCATAGATCTAAACATTCATGAGTTACTGTTCCTCAGCCAGAGAAATTTGTATCACACTCCCCAAATAACCTGTCAATTCACTTACATTATTAGCAAGAATTCTTTTATATCATGCAAATATAAAGTTAGTTTAAATGGTTTTCTTCCTAACACTCAGCTAAAAAACCCCTTTAAGGTAGGAAGACACAAAAGGAGTTATTTTATAGGTGGTAGTTGATGGGGAAAGGACAGTAGAAGGCAGTGAGAATTTGAGCAGCTATTTATTACTGCATGGACCATATGGAAAAATGGAAAGGCAGAAAGTAGAAGAGAAACTCTGAAAAGGAAGTGGACAGACAATGAAGAGAAATATTTAGTACTCTGGAATTTTACTTAGGCAGGGTCCTTCTCCTTCTTGAAAGGCAAGATTTTTTTCAGGAAAAAGAAAGTGAAAGGAAGTAGACTTTGGCTGTGATTCTCCCGCCTACATGCCAATCATCCAGGTGTGGGAAAGCCTAAGGGAAGAAGAGATGACAATTACAGCAGCCATGAGATGCATCCCTGAGGCCTCATCTGTGCACCCCAGGCTGATAAAGCCCAGGGAGGAGCAATTTCTATTTCATGTTTTTAAGCCCTATCTGGGATAAGAAGATGGCTTCCCCATGACACTGACAGGGGCTTAAGGGGGCACTAAGGGTACCATACTGGCAAACAGGTAGCAATGAAGTCACATGAGTTGTGCACAGACATATGCAGACAAAGCTTACAGAAAAACAGCTCTCATTTAGCAAGAACAACAAAAAGATCCAAATTGTCATTTTAAAGGATTTCCTCGTCCAAAAAGGCCATTTTAGGAAAAGTCTGACAAATTTAGTTTCCATTAAAGAATACATAAAAGAAGTTACCTAAGAGTAAAAAGATCATCAAACAAAAAAATTCAACCATTTATATCATACTCTTAAATTCCAAAAACATAGTAGCTTGAGAATCTTTTCTATTGACAGCCAGGTATGGGGAGGGTGAAAATCAATAAAGCTTTTCATATTAATACATTCTTTATATTATAGTTCCTTCCCTGCTTACCCCTTGCCTTTCCTAAAAGCTGGACAGAGATCTGGGATCTCAGAAGAGTTCTGGAAATCTGGTATTTGGATTTCACAGGAAAGTACTTAGACCAGGACAACATATTGTGTGGGGTCTACAAGAGACTGGAAAAGGAGACTTTTGCCTTCATAGAGGTGGACAAAATTCAGGTTATTATCCTTTTAAACTACTTGGTATAAATTCTTTTTAGAAAATTTCCATTTGTCTAGAACTTAAGTAAAATATATAGTCAGATGTACTTGATCAGGAACCCAGTAAGTAGGTTTGTTTATATGTTTGCTTGTTTTGTGATGCTGAAGACTGAACGTAGGGCCTCACACATGCTAGCCAAGTGCTGTACCACTGAGCTACATTCCTGGCCTTCATTTATTTTTAGGTTATCTAAAATTTGTGACTTTACTGGCAATTAGTCAAGTTATAAACTAGAATTAACTGTCAAATAGCTAAATTCTTTTGAGATACTTATATGTCTAACAATATTTCTCTTTAAACATTGGGCAAAACAATTTTCTAGGAAATACCAGCAATGTTATGTTTCAATATCATATGTACATAAATGTGAAGCTACATATAAATGTATATGTGTATATATGTGTATCTATGGAGCACCTACCAGATTACAGAAAATTGTCACCACTAGGTCAGTACCCTGTTTATTTCTCTTATAAAGAACATGTAAAAAAATTAATTTCTTGGATACAATGGCTAAAGAAATCTTCCTTAAGGATATTTTTGTGAATTTCTGATATGATGCCTTTGGTTTTCAAAGATTTGATCATTGTAATGTTGACTTCTAATCAACAATACTGACATATAGTGGTTTAGAAAAAGGAAAATATCTACCTGACAGAATATAAGAATTACATGAAATAATTATAAAGCCCTTAAGAAAAAAATTAAATTTCTTCTGGTGGAAAGTTTGTGTCAGAAGTCACTGTAGCTAATGGGTGAGTCTGGATGATCAATCAGTATACCAATCTCAGCTGAGATCTTGTAGAATTCCTAGATGGCAACAGTCTGTTTTAAATTCAAACAGAGTATAATTATTAAATTGAAATGAAAAAATAGGGACAAATATGGGAAATGTGGTTTGGAGAACTGTAATAAATTTTGTTAGGCAAAAGAGCATGTAAGTTTATGAAAATACCCAGAGAATTTTCTCAATGTGCACACCTACAGTTTATGATAGACTGAAACAAAGCTAGCTTACAGAAGATGTATACAAGTTGTTGATTATGGCACAGACACATGATCACCGAGTCTTAGGTATACATATCTGCAAAAATCCACATTAAAGAACAGAAAAGTGTAGTGCTCTTAGCCCACAAAAAGGTACTTGGGAAGTAATAAATAAATTCCATTAAAATTGACATTAAAGCTATAAAATATTACAATATTATATATAACATGCAAGAAACGAGAGACAATTCAGGCAGGAAAACCGTGCATTAAGATTTGCATTATTTATAGTATTTGATGGGTTTGTTTAACCACATTCTTTGACCAGTGAGTGCTGGGAACCTGAGGTGATTACCGATCTAACACTGAAAACATAACTTTGTATCTTGTCTCCTAACCAGTGATTTTGAGGAAGAAGTCATGCCTCCAATAATGAAACCTAAGAAGTTTTATCCACATACTGTTACGTGGCTGCACAGAAAGAACCTTCTATGAGACCAGGTCAAAGATAACATCCATTCCACCTTTTAGACAATGCAATCATTTCAGATTCCTCCTATTTTTTTTAACTATTGTGAGCATATTTAAACATGTTAGGTTTGCACAATAAGAAAATGGCTTAATGGAATGTATTTTTGGCACAAAAATATTTTCTTATACCTCAAATCAAAATTTTCACCCACAGAAAAATATTAAGCCATAGAGGTGCTTCAGTGGTGCTTACTTATCTATGCAGAAAACTACAAGAACAGCCAATTGCTTCCAAGAATTTTGTATTAAGTAGCAATTACTTCTCTTCCAAGGAATAGCACCGATATGATTACACCTCAGACTGGGGAGTGCTCCTTCCAAGCTCTTTAATTCCCTGGAGAATTCGCTTCATATGGCCCACTTTCGGTATCCCCAGGTCCTAAAAAAGGAAGAAAGGAAGAAAGGTAAGAAGGAAAGAAGGAAGGGAGGAAGACAAAAAAGTTTATTGATAAGAGAAAACTTAGGATTAAATATTTAACCAGCAAGTACATAGTTGCCTTTCAGTGCATCCATTTTAGTTTGTATTCAATTATTTAGGAACTGATAGCTTGAAAAAAAGTAGTTAATAAAACAAAAATAACTCAATATGAAAAATTACCAACCGGTAAAAAAAAATCCTATACAAGCTCTGCTTAACTGTGTTATTTTCATAAATTACATATAGTGGGGCAGTTTTTTAAGAGTCAAAACCAATACAGTTTCTCTTTTCTTTCTATATTGCATGGCAGGTACTTGGGAAATACTTGTTGCAGAAGTGAACACAACATGCAAGACAGCTATAATGCTCACTCTCTGAATAACTGCAAGAAAGAGTTAAAGCCTCTAAACCCTACAATTTCTTTAAGTGTAATAAGTATAATCAGTTTGCTAATGTGAAAGATCAAACAAGGTCTTCACAAAACAATGTAAAATATTTGAAAATTAGTAAATTAATAGATAATCAGGAAAATGACTTACAAAGCAATCTAAAATAGAGACTGTTTCTCAGAAAAGATAAAGATTCCAAATACCCACCTGATTTTGTACTGTAAGAACATTATTTGTTTTTAAACTTTAAAATGGATTAAGTCTACACAGGCTGGATTAAGTGTACACCCACATACACACACACACACACACACACACACACACACACACTTCCCTGTGCTTTATGAGCTCTTTAAATTCTACAGCAACAATGCTACCCCATTCTGAATGCTTCTGAAAACATTCTTTCCAAAGCCAGTGCTATTTCAAGCCTGAGATAATTTCAGGGTATCATTTTTATCATATTTAACTGACCCAGAAAAATATTTTCTCGGTCTCAATGATCGAACTCGGGACCTTGCGCCTGAGAAGCAGGCAGCGGAACCACTGAGCTAAATCACTGGCCCATGAAAAAAATTTTCTCATATAACACCAAGGCATCCAAAATTAGTTCCAATGCACCTATACATTTTCTGGGTATATGACAAATACCAAACTTAAAAGCAAGGCAGTCTTAGAGGAAGATATCAGTGCCTATTACCTAAATTTAAAATGTAAACACATTTACCATTACACTTAGCTTCTTTTATTTGAGTGGAATATTTAGGTAATCATCATTCTTTATGATAACAAATATTTGCTGACAAAATACATTCAAATACTAACTATTTTATTTTAGGCCATATATGCACTGTATTCTCCAGAATAAAAACTTCTCCAGAGGCAGCAGACTCTACTCAGATTTACTATTTTTGTTTAACAAGATCAATGTTTTCCATAATGTGACATAGAGTTACATTAACTTCTTAGCTATATATTCTTCACTCCTGTTTCAGTTTAGTACTTTCATGTCTTAGGAGCTAGGCTGCGATAAAGTTATGCTATGACATTTGTTAGATTTTTTTCTTTCCTTTTATCAAATGCACATGTTGCTTATCACATATTGCTGTGTACTTATCTTTACTGCATTCTTTACTACTGGCTTTTTCTTTCTTTGGATGAAGAGGCTTACCTTTGCCAAAGTGTATTTTATTTTGTAGACATTCAATTATCTTTCCAGCCACACATTACAACTTTTCAAATTGGAAAAAAACAAAAAGTAAAGAAACAAAAAACTCCACCCTATCTTAAACACATTCTCTGGCAATTTCATTTTTTCCTACTTTATGCCATTGGGGAAATTAGTACAACCTCTTTGTTTCCTGAACAGCTGAAGCACATTAGAAGTTTTCCCTTTCTCACCTAAATCACATTGCTATCTCTAGTTATTTCAGTGATAAAGAAGTAACACTTAAGCCAAGTTCTCACCCAAGTTCTCAGGGGGAGAAGCATACCAAAAGGGGGCACACATCTAGCGTGAGAAAACATTTAGTATTTTCAAGCAACTGAAGTAAGGTCAAGGTGGATGGGGCACAACCCAGTGAGGAGCCAGAGACTCCATAGGAGGTTGAGTAAACAGGTGGAACCTTTCAGGCCTCCATTAAGACATGATTCTTTATTTTCATAGAAATGGGGAGCCACTGAAATGTTTTAAGTGATACACTTGATGGCTGATGTTAACATCATGGTAGCTGCACTATGGACTACGGACTGAAGAGACCATGGACAATGGATTGGAGGAGAGCGCAAAGAATGGGTAGGAAACTACTGACCAGATGTGACATTAGTGTAGAATAGGACTGGGTTCAGGAGATGAAAGCAATGAATGGAGACCAGAATCACCATGACTTTGCTGAGAGGCTGGACAGGTTGGGGCAAGGGGTAATGGATAAAGAAGAGAAAGGTACTAAATGAGACAAAATGAAATGAAACAAAAAGAACAGAAGAGAGACAGACAGTGATACAATCCTGAAGTTCACAAGTGAGGTCAGGCAGGTTGTTACTATTGTCCCCCTAGAGCTCCACTGTGCTGAAGGTTTGTTTGCCAGCTGATAGGATTTGAGAAGCTAAATGGATCTCGTTTTTTCAAGTGGATTAATTCATTGATGAGTTCGTAGCTCAAAGGGCTTATGGGAGTGAGGAGCCTAACTGGATGAGGCAGTTCACTGGAGGCATACCTTTGAAGGGTGGATTTTGTCCCCGGCCCCCTCCTCTCAGGCTCCTTCCATCTCTCTCTGCTTCCTGGCTGCCATGAGGTGAGCAGCTTTGCTCCACCTTACCCTTCCACCGAGATGTTCTGCCTCACCTTGAGGCCCACCAGACTAAAACTTCCATAACTATGAACCAAAATATATCTTTCCTCCTTTAAGTTGACTTTATCAGATATCTGTCACAGTGGTGGAAAACTAACACAATGGTTCTGTGCTACACAAGGCTTTGTTTATAAAAATTTCCTTTCTCATCCCCCTCACATCTTGTTTTAGAACCAAAATAAACTTAAAAAACAAAATGTCAATACAGACATCTAAAATAAAAGTTTTAAGGGAAGGAAATAATTTGCATTAAAAAGAAAAACAAAACAGAACAATAACAAAAAAACCATAAAAGATTAATGAGGAAATTTACTAAAATAATTCTCAATATTGCCTTTCTATTTTTCTTCTATCTTTTCTTCAACAGAGTTCCTATTTCTCTAAATTTGCCTCAGTTTATCATTGTGCAAATACATACAGTGATACCTTGGTTCATGAGCTCTTTTGTTTGCAACCAATTTGTATTTGCTTAATTTAATGTGTGTGCATGTGAATGTAGACACATGTAAATGTATTTATATGTGTATTCTTTATACAGTGTTTTCCTTGAATGTATGCTTATTTCATGGACAATGAGATACAAGCCTCTAGAAGGCAGACATCACCTAGAGAAGCTGGCATAATACTGTAAATTAATCAGTATTAATGTACTGTATAACTATTACAGCTTGCCAATGATATGACAAGCTACGTCAATATTTGGCTATAAGATCCCCCATATTTTCTTTATTGTGCACTCATTTCAAGTTTCTAAGTCAACCTTTGCTTTATGAGCTCTATTTATTTTGCTCTGCTCCAGGATTAAGATTTTCAATCATGGTAACTAATTATCTATTATTTTATTATTACTCCAGCTAAAGATTCTTAGATAGAAGTGGCATTCACCCCTTGATGTGCTAAAACACTGATTATTCAATAAAGATCTACATATTACCTGACTCCTCATCTGTTCAAAGATCTCTGCTAACTTGTAGATGAAGGCCTAGTAGTCGATGAATATGTAAGGAATTTGCTGTCATAATTCTCTGCATTCTAGAAGTTGGTCTACAGGAAAGGGATCACTCTAACAATGTTACTTATTGTAGTTTTAAAATGGTAGTGTGTGCTAAGTACTTGTAACCTGGTAAAATCCCCCTTTTAATCATTGTACAGAACAATATGCTTTGGCTGTTTCTACTATAGAGTCTCCACACAAAGAATAAAAGAGAATTGCTAAAGACCAACAACTAATGATTTTCCTTCTGTATCATGAATGACAGGTTCTGAGCTGCTTTCTAGGAAAAGCCAGGTATATGTTTTGCTTCCTTTATTAAAGAAAATAATACATATATTTTTGAGAATAACAGAATATTAAGACTCTGTCATGGAAATGCAATTTGAACTTATTAGTCTAGTTGTTCGTGCAACCTAAGAAAGGCCAGTTTAGAAACACAGCAAAATCATAGGACTATAAGTAGCCACTGCTTATAAGTAGCTCCTCTAGTTCCATACAATAGCCTTACTGAGCTATATTTCCAGCCTTTTAAAATTTATTTTGAGACAAGTCTTCATTAAGTCACTATAGTACCCTGGCTGTGTTTGAATTTAGGATTCTCCTGCCTTGGCCTCCTCTGCAGAGTGTTGGGATTACAGGTGTGTGCCACCACACCCGACTAGAAAGGCTTGGTTATTGATATTTTAAATTGCTTTTTAGTTAACTTATATTAGATTTTTTTATTCTTTTCTAGCAAGAATTATCACCTTCTATGCTGATCCAATAAAATAAACTGATAGAAACATGATCCACTGGAAGTATTAGCACAGGAACAGTCACAACAATGGATGCAAAGAAAAATCACTAAGTTCATGCTGCATTGTAGCATAATAGTCAGAAACTGATTTTGACAGGAAAATATTGCTGACATTCTTGTTTAGAAAGCACACAAGAGACTCAAGACAAGGGGCAAGGAATGTTAGATTACTGCAAATTTGCAGAACACAAGCCAGGCTGAAAGCACATAACAAAAGAGATACAGGAAAAAGGATTCTGTTTGCAAGAAAATGTTCAAGAGCAGAAGAGTAGCACAAAGGAAATACCTTAAGATCTCGCCTTTCCAGATGCAAAAGTTCAGCCCCTCTGATGTCATGACGGATGAAGATTTCTTTGTACTCTCCCAAACTGAGCAGATCCAGCCAAGCAGCAACTTCCTCTGTGCCCCATTTCTGAACTACCAAAGTTAAGAGCAAAACCCCCTTAATTTCTACATGCTCAATGCTTTACAAAGCAAAGGTTGGCCAAAGAAGATGCAAAACAGAGTGCAGCAGCAGTGCTAGCAAAGGAAAGTTCAAAGGTGGTGTTTCAACAAAACTATAGTTCCTTTTTTTCCCATGCAGATTACCAATCAACACAAAGATCTGACCATACAAAGACACTTGACCCATGCACCCATGCCTTTAGTTTTTGTTAAAATTCTCATTAGAATTATTCATATTACACAATATGCTTAAAAAAACTTATTTTAGGCCGGGGACTTAGCTCAGTGGTTTCGCCGCCTGCTGTGCAAGCATAAGGACCCGAGTTCGATCCCCGGTACCAAAAAAAAAAAAACAAAAACCTATTTTGCATCATTAAGATCAGTGGTACAAGGTTTAAATAAGTGCTGATGATTTTCTTAAGACTGAATGAAAACTGTTATAGTCAGAAATGAGCTACAAATGCTAATTAAAATTTAAAATCTAAAATGGGGCACTCAATTTTACACACTTCCAGCTTAAGGCCTTGCTGACATCAAGTGTTCCTTTTTTTTTTTTTTTTGTGGTACCAGGGCTCGAACTTGGGACCTTGTGCTTGCGAGGCAGGCAGCGGCACCACTAAGCTAAATCCCCCGCCAAGTGTTCCTTTTTTTGATTCTATTGTTACTGATAGTTGCAACAATAAATGTGTGTGAAATTAATTTAATGTCATTTAAAAAGTGTCAGTATTGATCTTCTAGATTAGTGGTGGCAGTGATACTGTGTTTTTCATTTAAGATCAAAGATGTTAATGTAGAGCTGTTTTTTTATAAACTAAAATCTCAGTGTTCAGGTTTAACTGCAGAGTTGGTACTTTGTGATTAAAAAAGTAAGTTTTGGGTTGTAGTTTGGCACTTAATCTCTAAAGGGTTCGCCATCACTGACTTATATTATGCCATTTTTCAGTGTATAATCATTTTCATGCATTTTATTCAACATTGCTTAGCTTAATAAAAGCTAGTTATTTGTTGCATTTGGCTTTTTAAATGCCCTCATTAGCTGCTCTATAAAGATCACAAGTAAGAATTTATATATCTTTTTAAAAATAGCGACAGTTAACACAGAACTTATAAAATTCTTTTAATTGAAGAATTTATAAAACAATTTGCTTATTAAAGGCAGCTCTCACAAATACAGAACTTGAAGGTGCCTGAACACTAGTATAGCAGTAAATTTAACCTCTAAAGGAAGGTGAAAGGGGAACTAGGAAAATAGCAGGATACACAGAGTTTAATTTTTGCTTGAGAATGCAAGTATCACAGCAGATGGTCATTATCAGGGGAGTGAACTGATGTCCTTAAAACAGGACATTACTGTTTTAAGAGGAGAAGGAGAATATGCAAGTTAAGTGGAAAATATATTTAGCAAGCTGAAAGAGGTAAGTGAAAGTTTCTATGTTCCACTCATCAAAATGATCTCAATCTTGAACTTTAAAGAAGAAAAACAATTAGATTCCTATAGTTGATATTGTACAGTTGCATAGTATGTTCATAATGTTGGCCAATGCTCACTGCTGTCTAACTCCAGAACATTTGCATCACTTCAATGGTATCACTTACGTAAGTCATTTTTCCCCATTGTGTGGACAACCTACCAGGCTGTGAACTTGTCTTCTGCTTCTGAACCTTTTCCTTTTTAAACTTTGGCACTATACGAAATACTGTGCTTCTGTTGTTTCTTTTTGTGCAATCCATAGGAGGCTCCTATTCAAATTGAGTAAAAAAAGATTTGTTTTAGGTTATTAAGAGAAGAAAATCCCAGTCTGCGAATACAGGTAACATGGGAATAGGTTATAAACAATAAACATTGTAGAACATGGTAATTTCTTCAAAAAGGTTCATGATGTACTATATTACTGAAAATGTACCAATTATCAATACAGTGCCTGTGTTCACAAAAATGCTCCCCCCCCCCCTTTCTTTTTGGTACTAGGCATCAAACTTGGGAACTTGCACTTGTGAGGCAGGCGGTGGCATCACTGAGCTAAATCCCCAGCCCTCCCCCTTGTTTAAGAACAGTATATTTAAAAGTAGTATTCAAAATTTATTTTTCCTAAATGTTTCTTTTTCAAAGATAAGTTCAAATTCTGTTGTCATAGGTCTATATTCATAAAGAAATAGACTGAACTTTACATACCTCATTCTCATTGGGATGTAAGATATAATAAAGCCAGGGGATCTCTGTTAATTTCTGTAATTCCACCTCCACAGAGTGTAAGGCACTAGATACTCGCTCTTCATGTGGAGATTCCAACTGCTATTTACCAGCAAATTAAAAAGTAAAACAAAATAAGACTCAATGAGAGCTTCAAAAAGAACAACTTTTATTTTGATGGTGAACATCCTTACTTATTAGGTTAATTTTTAAAAATGAAAGAACTTTAAAAAGAACAAATTCTTTTATATTTTAATTTTTAATATATACATTTATTCTAATTCTTACTTCCCAAAGATGATGCATGTAACTAGTATGACAAGTAATTTCACAGAAAAAGTATTGCTTTTGGTGTTCCGTCTAAGTCAAAGTCCTCCTATCTCTCCCTTCCTCCCCTTCCTTCTTTCCTTCGTCCCTTCTTCCTTCCTTCAAATATCCATTCCCATTCTTCCTGATTGCACAGTGAACTGTGTCAGTGTTCAATTTATTTGTGCCAGACATCCTTTTGATTTATACTTGTTCACTACATGAACAAATCCTACTTTTTTTTTTGGTACTGGGGATCGAACTTGGGTCCTTGAGCTTGCAGCAGGCGGCAAAACCACTGAGCTAAATCCCTGGCCCAAATACTATTTTTCAAATTAGCCAAAAAGCTAAAAAAACTCCTGAAAAGTTAAAATAATAATTTTAAGGGAAAAAAATCGCAGAAAAATTTGTGATGAAAGCTATCGTAAAAATCAAAGCAAAGCAAAAAGTGGTTAATAATCTGGAACAGAGTTTGGATACTTTAAAGAGAATTTTAACTGGTCACCTGGTACGCACAGTAGCTCATTCAAAGAAATTATTCAAATGTATTTACAAGCTGAATAAATAACTAAATGCGATATAAACACTGTATGCCCAGAACTGGAAGGCAGCTGCCTGGATGATAATCCTGCCTAGTTACTAACTGCAAACCAGGGTAAAGTTAACTGATTTTAGGAGTCGCACTTTCCTTTTCCAGAAATAGCACAATATGACCACATTACCCCCAAGATCTCTTCTAGCTAACTAATACTTCTATAAATTACTTTAAAACTGTATAGAACACATATAGATGGCCATAGAATTTTAGAACTGAAAGTTCTAAAAGAATATTATTAATATTTATTATTATTTGTTTACCTTTGTTATTAAAGGTATCTACTTTTTCTAGTACTTAAAAATATGGAGATTCTCCACCCTACTGAATAATTTACCATTTTTTTGGCCTGTGAATATATGCTTTATAAAACTGATAACATGCTTATTATATAGTCATTCCAGAATTTACTTTTTATAAGGAATAACCTAGTTTTAAAATATAATTAACTACTGTGATGCTATTGTCAAAGAGTTTGGTAATATTCACTGGAATACATTTTAAACCAAACATTCGTATTTGTCAATGACAGAGAATCAAATATGTGTGTGTGTGTTGTGTGTGTGTGTGTGTGTGTGTGTGTGTGGTGGGGGTTCCTTCCATTTTAACATAATACAGTCAATAAATGTTAACAACGAGGGTACTTTTGGAGGAAAGGACAAAATTATGCTTCCAATTCCCTTTAGAAATGATTTTAAATGTATTTCAAATTACACACACATATAGATGATATAGATAGATAGATAGATAGATAGATAGATAGATAGATAGATCTTCAATAAAAAAAAAAAAATTGGGACCCAAGCCACAGCTCACAGCTTTTCTTATAGGATTTACTTTAGAAAAGTTATAGAAGATTCTAGTTAACAACAGTAGTGCCACAAATCACCAAGAATACAACTCCATTGGTTTTTGTCAAGAGATAACCAATGTTTCTTCCTAACAGTTTTGCTGCATGGCTGTGTTTCAATTTCTCTAAGCTGGTCAAGGGTGCTAGCCTTCAGGTAGCCTTTGAGTTTCTCAGAGGAAAGGGTGCTTGGAGGGCAGCACTCTTCAGGACCACAAATGAGCAGAAATCCCAGCACAATCACCAGTTAGCTAGGCCATGTATACACCTCCCATTCATTACCTACTATGCCAATTATTGTAATCTTAATGACTTTAATAACTTTTATTTAGGTGTATGTTTGTCCAAGCAGAAAGACAATCAAAAGATACATTTTAAGATCATCACCTAGCTATTAATTTGAGTAGCTACAAGGAAGGAAAAGATGTAAATGCATTAGACCTCCACACAGCAACAGCATGTGTGAATATGCCCAAATATCACTCTAGGTGGCGACAAGGTTCAAATGCTAGAATGTCTGAAGATGGTGAGGTACAACAGTATGTTTGAAGAAAGGCTGGCTCTGGGCTAGCACTTATACTTGAGGTCTGTGGACTATGGTCTGATGCAGACTTGCCTAAACTTGACTTCTAGGACCAAAATGAATCAGGGCAGTTGTTGAAACATTGGATCTACAAAGTGTCTTTCTTGTAAGCACACCTGGAGGACCATACCAATCATATTTCAAATGTTAATTCCAGGAACAAAACCCATGATTTCCTCTATTTTGGGGCAATAACGAATACCCAAGGAATGTCAACTACATTTTATAAAGCTGAAGGCTCTGAAAGCCAACTGGAGACAGCAGGATGGCATAAACATGTGATGGCATCTATGAGGGGAAACTCTCTACTCCTCTACTTGAATTCACTATGTAGCCCAAACTGGCCTAAACTTGTGGCAATCCTCCTGCCTCATCCTCCCTAGTTCTGAGGTTACAAGCATGTGACAGGCATTTTTCCCTGAGTCTTAACTCCAAAGGTTAGCCAAATAATTTCTGGAAGGCAGAAGACTGGCAAAAAAGGAAGATACAAGGATAGAGCCAGAAAGCAGCTTCTGCCTTTGGATCTGCTGAATTGCAGGTCTCATCATGTAGGTAAAATCCATATATTTATTTCATCATTCTTATTTTATCAGTCATTTCTTTTCCTTACCAAAGGAACCCTGCCAACTAGCAAAGACTCTGTTTCATTATATAGCGCCTTCACATTGATGGCTATTTCAGTAGCAGTATCTCTTGTAAGACTCTAGAAAAGAAGAATATCAGACACATAATTTTATATTACACTGAAATTCCACCATTAGTAGAAACTTTAAATTTTACTCTTATAATGTAAATTCACATTACAAATAATTTTTTAAATCTATCAAAATTCTATAATTGCAAAATTTCATAAATCTTCTAAATATCACAGGAATGGCAAGAAAAGGAAAACAAAAATTGGTCACAAATTTACCATGAGTTCTTATAGATACACATACAGCCTACATAACTTTCATTTGCCCAGCATATTTTACAGTATTTAAATACATGTGTAATACTGTAATATTAAAAGAATCTGTGGAATGAGAATTTACCATTCGATCCTCACCTCCGGGCACCGTGGGTTGGCTTTATTCAGTGCATGTGAGCATGCATTCACGGCATGGGCCAATTCTTGCTCCAGAAGACAATGAATTGTGGCTGCCTCACAAATCCTGAAAGCAAAAATGAAATAAATGAACAAAAAAATTTTGGGGAGCATTGATGATATTTTTGTGAGGAAGGGATTGTTGAAGTAGTAGGATAAATTAAAAATTATGAAGATCAATAAACAGAAAAAAATGTTTGAATGGCTACTCAATTATGGATTTAGCTGGGTAACCTCAAACCTTATTGCAACAAAGGGTATTATATTAAAAAATATAAACATATATAAAGTTAGGCTTATAATTAGACAAACATTTCTATGTGGTAAAAACAAAATATTGTAATACTACTTTATTTTGCCCTATAATTGGAAAGTGAGAGAAGTCACAAATATAGACTAGAAACTTATGCTTTATTCATTGACATTTCAAATACATTAGGGGAAATGCATTACCATATTTACCATCTATATGTGAAGTGTTTTATACACTTTAATTTTCGCAACCTTATAAAGTTATGACTCATTTCTACACTTTATAGATGAAGATACTAAGGCTCAGAGAGATTACAACCATATACAGAGCTTATAAATGGTAAAGTCATGATCTACGTCCATCCAACTGCAAAGCCTGTTCTGCCACTCCTCTGTTACTCAAAACTCTAAAAATAGTCCTAGAAAGACAAAATCCTGTAAGGCACTAAGAACAAAAACAGAACGAAGGAAAAGTTCCACCAATTGCTAGAAAGTGATGTAAGGCTTGCAGAAGTGGAAGAAAGTGAAGCCAGTCAAATACTTCTTGCTTCTGACATGTTTAAGGAGAAAAACTTTCACTCTAGGAAGGATAGAACAAGAAAAGACAGAAGCCCTACATACTTGAATCAAGAGAAAAGGAAAATAGTTTAATTTTTGGGCCGGGGATTTAGCTCAGTGGTTCCAGTGCCTGCCTTGCGAGCGCAAGGTCCTGAGTTCAATCCCTGGTATCAAAAAAAAAAATAGTTTAATTCTTAAGCATTATATTATATTCCAAAGCACAAAGAGACTTATGTAAATGAACCTCAACATTATTAACAATAATCTTGAGAAACTTTGGAGAATGGGTAACTTATCAGAAGAACAGAGGTAGGTAAATGGTATTCTAATTTTCAAAGAATGAGAAATAGTTAATCAGCTTCAGACCAACATTTCTAAATGCCAAATGGAATTGTCTCCTGGATATTTTTAATGTAATTTAAATTCTTTAGTCCAACATAGAACTCATCATTATTTCCCCTTTTCAATCTGCTTATTTACCAGCCAGAGACATATGATTTATCTCTAGAGTGCTGACTAATTCTTACGATAAAGTAATTTTTATTATCCCCCTTTGGCAGATAAGATTTAGGTGAGAAGTCAAGAACCTGTCCATGGTATCCCCTCTTCCCTGAAAGTTTATTTCTGGCTGTATTGATTTTTACGTTTCATATTCACAGAACCCAACGTCTCCTCCCTTTCCCTCCACCAAAATTAGTTTATGAGTAGTCTCTAAATCTGCTTGTTGGTAACTAATTCTAGGACTTCTGATTCTCTTTTGGAATAGGGTTAATATTTAGACTTTGCTCTATATTCCATAAACATTCATTAATAATTATAAAGCAATATGTTAAATGGATATGTGTTGTAAATATCATACATAAAACAGGAAATCATAATGGAAAGAATACTGTGTGGCAGAGAAAATCAAAGTGTTTCAAGAAGTATAAGATCTGGTTTGTAGAGAGCACAGAGGTGTTCAGATTGAAGATCATGCTAAAGGTTTCCCAGTAAGGAGTTACAGCAATTATTGAGGTACAAGTAAGGCAATAAGCACACTTCTTTTTGATACTACCAACAGCTGGAACTACATATTAAAATTGAATCAAAAACAAAATAGCCTGAGACCAGAGTTCTCATGGTCCACAAAGCCCACAGGACCACACTACCTGGTAATTAGCTCCTCTGCAGCCTGGGAACACAGCTGCATCTGCAATACCTCTTCCGTTGCCAGGTCAACGGCATGCTGGATGTACAAATGGGTTCGAAGAACTTGCTTGCCAGAGTCACACTTTTGTTTATCTTCCCAAGATTTCAGAGTGCTCTCAAAGGCCTATTTAAAATCAACAGCGTAATAAATGGTTGTTTTAGAGACCCAGGTATGTATTTAGATATTGTATGAATCTTTGAAATTATGATTGCTTTTCTCTAATCTAATATGTCATTAAATATATCACAAGTATTAGAAAAGACATTTTAAGATGGGCATGGTGATGCATGCCTGTAAACCCAGCACTTTGGGAGGCTGATGCAGAAGGATTGTAAGTTTGAGCCCAGTCTGGGTAACTTAGTAAGCCTTTGTCTCAAAATAAAAAATAAAAAAATGGCTAGGGGTGTAGTTTAATAAGAACTCTCTGAGTAGTTCAATTTCTCAGTACAAAAAAAAGATATTTAAAATTTTCCTACATTGCAGCAAATAAAGAAAAATGTAATTACAAAGACTTTATGCTTTGATCTCTTTTTACTATTTTATTGGGTAGTATGAATATTTCCAGTCTTATTTGTTAAAGGTTGACCTTAATTAAAAATACAAATTCTGAGAAAGATAAAACTATGAAGGTCATAGAAAGATCAATGATTGCCAGAAGAGATGAATTTATGGAGCCCAGGGAAATCTAAAGTTTCACTATTCTACACAACACTGCAATGGTGCATAGAAGTGATTATATATGTCAAAACCCGTAAGTGTACAACATAAAGAATAATATTACCTAGGACTTTAGTTAATAATAATAACGGAGGGCCGGGGATCTAGCTCAGTGGTGCCACCCTCTGCCTCGCAAGTGCAAGGCCCCAAGTTTGATCCCGGGTAACCGGAAGAAAAGAAAAAAAAGTATTAAGGTTGGTTTGTCAGTGGTAACACAGGACACACTAGTGCAAAATGTTAGTAATAGGGGAATTTATGTGTGTAGTGGGTGGGAAGAAGTATGTGGGAATAGAATTAAAATTCTCTGTACTTTGTGCTCCATCTTTCTGTAAACTTTAAATGGTTTTTAAAAAACCATTTAATTTAAAACAAAATTGAAAAAACATTTGTTCATATTTAAAACCACAATGACCTAAATGTCAGATCTAAGAGACAATTTAAATCTTCTCCCTTGTTTTCATTTTTAATAATTTAAGATATTAAAAAAAAAGCTAGACAAAATTCTGAAAGAAAATTTTGTTACATACTCTGTCCCTTGTTAGCATCTGAGCTCTATTTTTGTGCACAATTTTGATAATTCCTGGAGGCTGAACCCAAGCTTCACCATCCACCTGCACTGGGACGCCTTCATCTCCAAATATAGTGATTTTTACTGTACGGCACTGAAATAAAACAAACACATTATGTGAGAACACAAGTCATCCTGAAGAATGGATACAATCAATCTCTGCATTGGGCTTGGTTGTTTTTTTTTTTTCTCAATAAGTTTATTGGTACATTTTGGGTATACAATACAATGACATTCATCATTGGGAATTTATACCTTTACATGATGTATCTTGGTTCTTATTTTTTCCCCTGCTCTCCCTTCAACCCCTCCACCCCTCCCTATCTACAAAGACTTTGTTTCCATTTTTTCCTTTTCTCATATTTTTTCCTTTCCTTTCTTTCCTTTCCCCTACCCCTCCCAGTTCTCCTTCACCTTTAGACCTTTTCCTCCTATTTCACATTATCTATTATACATTTTGGTCCTTATTTACACTTTCAGTTTCTCACACTAGAGAAACTATTCGGTATTTACACGTGTGTCCTATTTATTTCACTTAAGAGTTTCGCCTTAAGAGTATGGCATCCATTTAGCTATAAATGTCTCTAGTTTCTCATTCTTTATGGCTGAGTAGTACTTCATTTAATTTTTTTTTAAAAACCCATATTTTCTTTCTCCAGTCTCCAGTTGATGGGCAATTGGGCTGTTTCTAAGTTTTAGGTATTACAAACTGTGCCGCTATAAACAGGGGTGAGCATATATCACTGTGGTATGATTCTTTTAATTCTTTTGAAAAAATACCCAGCAGGGAAATAGCTGGATCAAATGGGACCTCTAATCCTAGTTTTTTGAGGTATCTCCGTATTGATTTCCACAGTGGTTGCACCAGTCTGCACTCCCACCAACAATGGAGAAGGGTTCCTTTCTCCCCTCAACCGCACCAGCATTTGTTGTTGGTTGATTTCTTGATAGCAGCCATTCTTTCTGGAATAGGCTTGGTTTTTAGTCCATTCTGTGGGGGTGGAATTCCTATGGTTTACCACTTATAATGACACAGTCACAAGTGACATGACAAGAAAGCCAATCTTTCACAAAAGCATACTCAAAAGCATATACTCAGTGAAATAGCTTCCCTCAGCCCTCCATGGCCCAAGAAGTGAAGTCAGATTTTATCAGAGAAACCAACCTGGGCTATGCGATGATGCTGTAGTTTGATGACCCTTGACATTGCCATTTGCATGCTATCAAATATTGCAACAACTTCTAGGATCTTGTCATCAAATGATGGCGCAGCAAATATCTGAAAGGAAAAACTGCATTACATTTTCACTGGAAGTTTGGCTAAAGTGGCACATCAACTAATATAAACTTTTATATATACTTTTATATATTTTGTATATATATTATTAGTAGGAACGGAATCTAGCTGACTCCTTGATTTTTAACTCAGGGAGACTGTAGCAGACTTCTACTATGCAAAACTGTAAGGTGATACATGTATGCTAAGTTGTTAAATTTGTGTTAACTTCTTATAGCCACAGAATAGATACTAGGTATCTATTAAAAGTAAATAGTTTCTCCCTTTTATCCCCTAAGTTTGCTTTCCCAAAGAATATTCATTTTTGTTTATCCAGAATATTATTACCTACATCCCAGGATAAGAAATTTTAAAGTATATACATGAGAGATTGTTCAAATAAAATCTTAAATCTATTACACCCCTCACCTGCCCAGTATATTCTGACTTAAAATTAAGTTAATATTAAAAAGCACATTTTAAAAAGAAACTATTCCAGTAATATAATCGTTGTTGAGGAAACAAACTCTTCACTCCTACTATGGTACTTACATCATCTTCTTTAGTTCCACCCCAGAAGTTAGTGCCTCCAGCATAACTAGGGATGTTCAACACTGCTATGCCTTGAAGACTAGGGAGAGGAATATACTGCCCATCACACTGAAAGATACAAAGCTCAGAGGTTAGACAGAAAGAGCAAAATCACCAGTACAGAAGATATTAAAATACCCAAGAAAAGAGTGAGGGAGCAAAGTGTGTTGGTAATGTTTGCTATCCTGTAAATACCTTCCTACCCACTTCAACATAAAGCAAACACCACTAGACATAAAAGATCAGATAAGTACCAATACAATTATAGTGGGGGACATTAATACCCCACTTTCACCAAGAGATCAATTAGACAAAAAAATCAGCAAAGAAGTATCAGAATTGAACAAAAACTTTGAAAAAAATGAACTTCATACATGTTCCACCCAACAACAACAGAATACACATTTTTCTCAGCAGTACATGGGATTTTCTCAAAAAAGACCATATGTTAGCCATAAAGCATGCTTATGTAATCACAAAAGAACTGAGATTATCCCATCCATATTTTCAGATCATACCACAATGATACTAAAAATCAATGTCAAAAGAAACCATAGAAATCATGCAAATGCACAGAAATTAAACAATACCCTCTCTTGAATAATTAGTGGCTAACTGAAGAAATTAGACATTTCCTAGACTCAAATGACAATGCCAGTATAATATACAGAACTGATGGGACACAATTAAAGCAATCCTAAGGGGAAAGTTTATAGCTGTGAATGCCCACATCAGAAAAACAGAGTGAGCTCACATAAATAACTTAATAATGTACCTCAAAGCCCTAGGAAAACAAGAACATTCAAAGCTAGTACAAAGAAGGAAATTATAAATATCAGAGCAGAAAGTAATGAAACTGATACTAAAAAGACAATAATAAGACCCACTGGTCCCTGCCTCCATCCCAGGCTACTAGGGCAGAGAAGCTCAGCCATCCCAGCACCTGGAAGGAAGCACCCCCCCCACCATCCCAAGTTCCTAGGGCAGAGAAGCTGAGCTGGTCCCAGCACCCAGAAGGAGGCTCCCCTGCTGCCATCCCAAGCTCCTAGGGCAGAGAACGTGAGCCACGTAGGTGCCAGAAGCACCCTCCCCCCCGTGGAAATGAGAAAACACATAAACAAGCCTCAAAAACAGACTTCCAGATCACCTACAGCAACCCC